CCATCCCTGGGAAGCAGGCTGGGCAGCCAGGAGTGACTTGTAGGACTCTTCTGCATAATTGTCAGAGGCGGCAGCAACTTCAAAGGCTCACAGACCAGTGCTACAAGCTTGGGCAGCTGCTCATGGTCAGCTGAAGCTTAGCTGGACAAGAAATGAAAGCAATCAGGAGGCCGAAGCTTTTCTTTATCAGCTTGGGACTGATGGTGGCTTACAGGCTCCTTCCAGTTTGTGGTTGTCTTCGTGCTTCTGAGAGATCAAAATGGATAACGCGATTTCAAACTGCGTCCCTTCAGTTCTCTGTAGAGAGGGATTTACAGCAGGGGCACAGAGCTGGTCTGTTCCCCGAGAGTTGTAGAACTGTTTTTTCCATTCTTTGTAAACATACTGTTCAAAATCATTCTTTATGGTTTCCTGTTGCACTGCTTTGCACACTCTGCATTTTCATGTTTTGTCTCTCCCATTGTCAACCTGAAGGTGATTGTCTTTTTCTCATAAATTTTGACAGTTTTCCCATGTAATATTACCTAATTTTCAGTGACAGATTATTTTTCTGTCTTGAAAGGTATAAGTGTCTCTTTCAACTTTTTCCTAATTGAAACTTGTTATATATATTTACTTTTGCCCTGCTCACAGCCCCTCTATCTGTTCCAGCATTTCTAGAGAAATGTGTGATGCAGAGGGAATGAAGAAGAATGAGCCAACATGAGCTGGAAATAATCTTTATTCCTCTGAGACAGCTACAAGGTAGTACCAAGATCCTAGGGAAGATTGTAAAAATCCTCTGGCTGCTACACCAGACATGGTAGAGGAAGAATATTGGTTCACAAAATATGTTTACTCCCTATGAAAGGATTGGAACAGTGGTGTCTCCCAAGGGGCTTAGTTCTGTGCTGGTGCTGTAGTGTCCTGTAAAATCTCAGTGCAACAGGTGGTTTTTTTTTTTTTTGGCCATTTAGATCTGCAGGCAGCATTTGATACCCAAGGTAGTGCCATCACTGTGCAAGTTGTTGATGTCATTGGAGACCATTATGCACTGCCATGAGCCCAGCATTCAGAGATTGATTCACATTGGGGGCTGGCGCTTTTATTGCATGTTAGAATACATTTAGAATCCAAAATACCAAATTATATCCCTGCTGTGGTTACCTCTGAAAGATAGCCCTTCCTGTCAGATGCATTTGTTTGCCAACAGCCTACCAGGCCCACACACAAAGGCACAGTCCTGTTGACACACAGCAAGCAGAGTCATGTTAATATATGTATACAAAGGTAAGGTCTCTTCTGCCAATGCTGACGTGCTGCAGAGTAAAAGCTTTATGCTTGTGATTCATTGCAGAGCTGAAACATAGCCATATATTTTCCCCTTGGCAGAACACTATTGGATATTGTAATTTATATGGTCAGGACTGTGATGAGTAAATCTTGTTTTGAAAGATCCCAGAGACTTGAACAAACTTCCTAAAAATCTATTGTTTCGTGTGAACATCCAGTATTTGGAGGTAAAGGGCTCACTGTACTATTCCTCTGATTATTCCTGTGTTCCATAGTACAGTTTCTTCAGAGATATGCCTGCATCTGATCTGATTCCCGATCATTAAACTTCTCACAGAAGGCACCAAAGAAGGAATACCAGGGAGAGGACAGCACTGTTTAGCAGAAGTGTCACAGTAACTACATCTGGCTTATTTGGTTTCTTCACGTGCTGTGCTAGTCAATGCTATCTCCTTTACTTATCCTCAATGAATGCTGGACAATAGTTTGGTATATTCTGTAGCTTTGTGTCTGTCGATGACAGGTCAAATCAAAGACTTCCAGAAGAATGCATAAGTGCTTCATCTGGCTTGGAAGAGGACTCCAGCTGGGAGAATGGGATGAGACTGTTGTTGGAGGAAATAATGAATGTTTCTGGCATTTAGCATGAGGTGCAAGAGCCAGGGCTGCCATCCTTAGTCTCTGAAAAAAGCAGTGCTTTCTGATGCAAGAGTGATGACCTTGAGACCATCAGTGTCTGAGTTGTTCAGTTGTCTCAGAAAAGAAGGGAAGAAGGAAGAAATGGAGTAGGGCAAGGCTGGTGGCGACACATTTCAGAAGTGTTTAGTGTTGTATTTGATACATGGGTGGCAAGGGCTGGCAGAAGATTGCTTCCCTCACCCTTTTATCTCCATATGTTTCCTCATTGGAATATGTCTGGTCATCAGGTTCCTCTGTTCAAGACTCTGCATTAGAAGTGATTGCTTCATTTCTTGTCACTTGGCCAGTCCCGGGTTCTAAAACTGAAGGAGTTGAGACAGACAGTGGGAGGCAGCACAGCAGATTATGTCAAGAAGACAGTGTTCCCTCTTGCAGTTATGGCTTGCATCACCTTTCTGCATTCTTAGTTGAAGCGGTCTTGCAGATCAGGAGGTGTGAATCTCTGATAACACGATTCTTAGTACAAAACTTGGCAAGATTCTTATCATTTGAAAACAATCCTCATGCATTTCTGTGAAAATTAAGTCCTGGGTTTAGTCATACAACCTCTCATTTGTGTGCACGTGTGGAAAATGGTACTTTGCGTTTCTTTACCTAGCACCAGAGGGCTGCTGTTTGTAGTTAGAACAGTTTTGCACATCCTGCAACTGTTACTGCACCTACAAACCCAAAAGACCCTGTGTCATAGGAGCAGAGAAGACAAGCAACCTTTCCTATTGGGCCCATTCTGTTTTGGGAAGGCTGGAGGCTGGTGCATGAAGCAGGAGCACATGGGTTTGTTTTACAGAACAAAGATAGTGGCTGGTAGGCCTTACCCCTTGCTGTGTCCTGAATGTGCACATGGATTTATACTCCCTTTCCTCTTGGTAGCTGCAGACTTCTCAGGATGTCTGCTGTCCCTTAGACACACCCCTTTGGGCTCCAGATGTCTCGCTGACAGCAAGTTTCACTCTTGCAATGTCAGTCAGGGTTGTGTGGTTTACACAGTTTTGAAATTCCATCAAACTGTACCCTTCTGTTTGTTTTGGGTTTTTTTTTCTTTTTTTTCTGCAATACATTGCCATTGTGGCTGGGATGCAGTAAGACTGGGTCACTGAACTGAAGGTGGTGGGGCCTGAGCACTGTCACTCAGTTCCTCAGCTGGGAGATCAAACTCTTCCTTTGAAAAGTTGCTGTGGTACTGCTACTGGTGATTCATTCTGCACAATAATTAATCTTTGAGTGAGTCTGTTGCATGGTGTAAAGGAATGTGGAGATGCAGAGAGGCAGTATGCTTACCTTTCTTGTTTCATGCCCAAACATATCCAGAGACATCTGATATTGGCATCAGTGAGGAGCTTATGTAGGACTGGGAATACGAGTCGGGTTTGGGTCTGTTTCAGTGAAGTTTCTGTCTCCATCTGATGTTCTGTGCCTCTCTCCAAGATTTTCAACTGCTGCAGGATTTTCTGGGGAGACTTTAAAAAAAAAGTTGGTTGTTCCTTTGAGAACCATGAGTCTCTTTGAATTGGTTGCAAATCACATTTGTAGCCTCCCACGACAGGATTTCTTCCTTTATATGGCTTTGAGTTTCATATTTGCTGTCACTACTTTTATCCTAGATAGTCTCTTTCTTTCTTCAGCAATTCAATGGCTGCGTGCACCAAAGGGGAGGAGGAAGCTCTGAATTGCTTATGCAGTCTGAGGCTGTATTTACAAAGGTCACGTGAATTAATGTGCCCTGTGGGTTTTAACACCTGCATCCACAGTGTAATAGGAGATGGCAGGAGCTCAGCAGGCTTGACAGTATGACTTGCTTTTATACTTAATGACTGTTTTAGAGTACTGGGAGGGGGCTGGTTTGTGGAAGCATTGCTTTCATCCTTGTCTTTGGCATTCTAAGAAAAGTTGCATGGTCTGATCCAAATATCCAGGAGGGAAGAAGCTCTGCGTCTTGATGGTCAGCACTGCAGTGTGTGAGGCATGCCTCATGTGATACTTTTGTGTCTGAGCTGCTGCAGAGCTTTCTGTCACCTCTTGTCTTTCAGAGAGTGACAGGCTTCCAGTCGTGAGCTCAATCACTCAAGTTAAACTGGTACAGGCCTTTCACGTAGTTGCTTTTTAAATCAGTTAATCTCTTTAGCTTGCATTGGTAAATCACTGAGTTAAGATCAACTGATCAAATGCATGTTCAATCAGATTAGGGATGTTTACATTAGCAGTTTGCATCAGTTTCACTGAGTCTGTGTAGTTAAACCAGTAGGGCCTTCTTCTGTGCAGGTGGGGATTTTTGGAAGAAGTGATTGGATTTGCTCTGCAGTTTCAGGTTCTGTAGTAGAGTTCGGGATGTATAATGAAGATGCTTTTCAATATGGTTTGTAAGTGCCAGAAAAGGCTATCCTCAGTAGGTTGGCAGTGAATTTTACTGAGGGAAGGCATCATGGTCATTTGCTATAGGTATGATACTGGCTTTCAATTTCTTCCTGTAAGTGAAGGGAGTATTTGTCATCTTATCTTTGATACATCGTTGATCTTTCTCACAGTCTTTCGCTGTTGATAGTAATAAGGAACTTCACTGTTTGTAGTCTCCACTAAATAATTATATCAAAATTATCTTGTACAGTTTTCTATATGCTCTGCAATACATGCCACAAAATCCAGGGCAGCTGGCAGCAATGAGCTATTTGTTTGTTACTAGAAGCTTTAACAAAGACCACTGGTTATAAAGTCTGGAATTTCCCTCTTACACACTTGGAGAGGTCAGGGCTGAAGTGTCCTGGTGATGTTAGCAGTAGTGAAGACTTTTTATGCTTTGATAAATCTTTTGGCAATAAAAGGATAATTCTGCACCTGGATGTGCTAATCTTGTACCTTTTGCCACAGTTTGTACAAATACTGTGTTTCAAGAGTATAAACATTGATAAAACAAAGCTAATTAAGGAAATGAAATCTTGAAGCTCACTTGTGGTGCAGCCCTTAATAGATTTTGCAAGTTAATATCTCAGTAGCTGAACTCTTGCCTCTTTTGCATCTGTTTGTTTTTTCCACAGGTACTTCCTTTCTGACTTTGAGTAGCAGAGAAAAAGCTAAAGACCTTGAAGAAAGACGCCTACGGCCCCTTGCTTGGCAGAAACAATGCTGCAGCGATGAGATTACAGTGAGCCCTTCCTGTGTGGCCTCCATGGGTCCCACTCAACTCAGCACACAGGATCATGGGAAGAGGGTGGCAAGTGTATTTGAGATGGAGGAGGAAGGGCTTTCGCTCTTCCCTGGCTCAGAGAACCCCCCTGAGCATGCAGGTATGGAAAAATTCTTACTAAATCCATGCAAGCTAAAGGCTATCCTTTCTTTCAGCTGCAAGCAGAATTAATAGCTGGCAAAATGTTAGGACAAGCTCTGCTGTGCTTGAGGCACTAAGAGATAACGTCTAAGAATAGAATCAGTTATTGATAGTTGAAGACAACTGGGTTTATCTGAGTGATAAATATTTTGCTTATTTGACCTTTTAGAGACTAGGTTCATGGCAGTAAAATGAATTTATTTTTGCTAGCCTTATCAAAAGCTGCTGAACAGTAAAGTTTTACTACAGGTGACAATCCAACAAGGATAGGTGGTGCAGAGCAATGATAGATTTTTGCAGTTTCATGTAACGGGAAGACAGTAGAAGTTTCTTCTACATATTTCTTAGGTTAACTGAGGTTAAAGAGCATCAGGAAATAAAATGGAGATTTTGTAGTTAAAATCGCTGCTCATGGCCACAATCCTACACTTTCAAACTATAAGATGACATAGTCTAGCATCTCTGGACCAGTAACAGGAAAAAAAGGAAAGCACAAGTGCATAGTGTCAGCAGCTTAATGAAAATATGACAAATAAATGTATTTGCTCAACAGTGAGGCAATCAGCAATCCCTGATATAAAATAAAGAGGCAATCTGAGCATTGAACGAGGACTCATCAGTAGAGTAGAAACAAAGGGAGTAGTTAAAAGGTGATATATGAGCCAATAAAAGTCCTTAAACCAGATTTGAGGACAGGAAAAGAAAGCAACTGATAGATTGTTTCCTTACAAAAAGGCAAGGAAAAAAGTTAAAAAATGTGGAAAAAATTATTAAACAGGGTATCTTCAAAGGAGGACCCTAATGTGAGCTAAAGGTTCAGAGATGGTGTTCATGCTTGATATATCTTGTGCTATTTTTGTATTATCTTTAACTACAGAAAATGACAATAATCAGCTATATAACTAAAATGTTTAGTGTTCAGAGATGGAAAATAATTTGCTTAGATCAAGAATAAACCTGTCTCAATAAACCAGTCATAGAAAAGGTAATAAGATGTTTATGTAACGTCCTAAAGGCAACTAAGAAATCCACAAGGTGGACAGATTCATCTGTAGAAGTCATTTGATTACTCTGCTGTTCCTCAGAAGCGTATGAACATCACTTAAGGCTTTGGAAAAGTTGTTTTACCAGTTAGTCTGCCATTGCATTTATTTATACTAAATAATCTGAAATAATTGTAGACATTGCATAATTTCCTCTTGCTAATATATTGTGTGAGGAGAAATGATTGGTAATATATTGGGTGAGTCGAACAAGAAAGGAGAATATCAGAAATTTAACCTTTCTGATGACATTTTGTAGCTCTGCAGTGAGAAGTGCAGGCTGAAATGAGTGACCTCCAGGCCTCTGTAAAGTCAGTGGGATTGAAAATCAACACCAAGACACTTAAGACTGAAAACTAATATGTAGTGAGGAACACTAATAATAATTTCTGAGACTGACTTAAAATGGTTTACCATTTCAGGAACTTGAGCAGACTAGTAGGTGTAAACAAGAGTAAGGATTAGAAGTATTAGATCAGTAAGTACAAAAATTAAACATCCTATTGTAAACCTGATGCTTATCAGGAAATGCAGTAGCCTTGTCCTGTGAACCAATCTGTATGCATTAATTCCAGTGTAAAAGGCTTTCCAGGCATATCTAAACATAATCTGGAGACTTATCAAGACATGTTGCATGTTATCTTTATGAACAGCTGCCATAGAAGAATCTATAATATCCGACATACAGAAAAATACCTGCACTGTGAACTGTGTAGAATGCTAGATGTTGGCCTGTCTAGCGTTATATGGAATAAAAAGAGAGATAGTTAGTAGGCTGGGATGCTTGATTTACGATGCATTGGAGAAAACCAAAGATGTTTTCAGAATGCAGAGCTGCTGCTAATATTAAGATCTGTCAGAATGATGTAGGAAGAGCTGGAGCTGCTGCATAAGACCATCTGAAATGTGAAGCAGTAGTGCAGGGCCTGTGTTTCAGATAGAATAACAAGGTTCAGTAAATGAACTGTTGACTATGAGAGTGTTTCAGTTTTAGGAGTGGGGAGCACTCTTCTTGAAGAAGAAATGATGGCTTTGGGGTTCCAAAGGCTCTCAGAGCCTGTGCAGTGTGCTGCTTGCCTGTGTATACACTCCATAAGGTGCTGTGTTTTGTCTCAACGGTTTCCCCAAGTGTTCCAGTTACGAGGACTGCCTGCTCAGTCTGCCTTTTGTAGGGTCACAGTTTCAGCAATGTTTTTTTGTCACAATTAGGTCTATGAACCATTTTTCCTTATTCTTGTGCATGAATATGGCAGAGAATAGAACTAGGAGAACTGAAGGTGAGTTCTGAAGAAACTGCTTTCTGCACAATCTTGGATTTCAGCTCAACTTTTTTGTAGGTCTTTCTCACATTGGGGACTTAACTGTAACTGAAAGTGCAGAAGAGCATCTGGCCTGAATATGTTTTGGCTCTTCCATCCTGTTTTGGAGAGGAACAAGTGTGAAGCTATATTTGTTTATATATTTGAGGTGAAACCTTGGGGCTTATGTCAGTCGTTTGTCACAGAAGACATGCTTGTCCAGAAGGGGAGTGTGTGAAACAGGAGCCTTGATCTTTTCATCCATGTGTTTGGGAGATGGTGGGAGTGAGGAGGAGTGAGGATATTGGCTATTTTAAGGAATGTGGCAGTCAGCTGCAAACATGCTTCCTTCATGTGTGGTGTTTTTTTTTTTTTTTTTTTTTTTTCGCTGGGTACTGTTCATTTCAGCAGAAAATCCCCCCTTGAAGCGGAAGAAGGGCCCAGCCCCTAAGATGCTGGGAAATGAAGTGTGCAGCGTGTGTGGGGACAAGGCCTCTGGCTTCCACTACAACGTGCTGAGCTGTGAAGGCTGCAAGGGCTTCTTCCGCCGCAGCGTCATCAAGGGAGCGCAGTACGTGTGCAAGAACGGCGGCAAGTGCGAGATGGACATGTACATGCGTCGCAAGTGCCAGGAGTGCCGGCTGCGCAAGTGCCAGGAGGCGGGCATGAGGGAGCAGTGTGAGTGCAGGAAATGGGGCATGGGGGCATGGTGGTGTTGGGACAGGAGGCGTGTGGGAGCAGGCCGGGGGGGCGGTGGGTGTAAAGCAGGGGGCAGTGTGAATGCTTGGGAAGGAGGGGACACGTAAGACAAGCAGGCTGTGTGTTGGAATGCGTGTGGGAAGTCACTGAGAGCTTAGCAGGGATCACGTGGGGAGGTGAGGCTGTTAGTGGAACACCACTGGTGTGCTGAGAGCCCCAGCCTTGCTTTATTCCTTGTAAGAACTTGTGGACTGTGTGGGCAGAGGAAGGACTCGCACATTCTTCAGGATGCTGTCGAGTGTATCAGTAAACTCAGGCTTCTGTCTGTCCTGTGATCAGGACAGCAAGATTGGTCACCATGCTCCTTGAACAACAGGCACTTTCCGTTGCCTCCTACCGTGAGCTTGCGACAGAGGTCAAGGGCAGCACCACAGTACTGCAGCTGTGTTTGTACAAGAGCTGATCTCATTGCTCCCTTTAGTGAAATCTGCTATTTTTCTCACACAAGTCATAAGGCTGTTGTTCCTGAATATTCACCAGTGTTTCTGCTCACATGTCAGGAACAGCTCTCCTTGGCCAAGGCATCCAAGTTTCATCCCTTTGGTGGCCAAGACTGACTGAATGGATGCTTGATTCATGCGAAGTCTCCTTTACTGTCATCCAGCACCCAGAACAGTGAGGAACAGGGGGCATTTCAGAAACATCTTATAAAATAATGCTACACCAAGGAAACGTGCTGTTTGGTTTTTCCAGCACGAAACACAGCACATCAGTATCTGTCTCACTGGTTTGTATCAGCATACCATATGCTGTGTTTACCTCATTTGCCCCTGTTCCTGAGAGCTACAAAACAGATATATTTGAAAAGTGATATAGTAAAACTGCCTGTTCACTTTACTTCCCTTTTATTGCAGGTAGATAGAGAGAGCCTCAGTTTCTGTATTTACTCATTGTCTTGTGTTGAAGACAGCTCAGGAAAATTAGGTCAAAAGTGTTATTATTAAGAGCTTGGCAATTCTTGTCAATGCTGTAATCCCCACTGCAAATTTGCCCGTGTTAATTTTGACAGAAACTGAGGGCTTTTTCCTCCAGCTGTTTCACTTGGAAGGTCATTCCAGAACTTCCCTCTAGTAATTGCTGGAAACATTCTTCTAATTCCCAGACTGAAGTTATTCATGGCCAGTTTATTGTTCTTAAGCCAGTGTGAACTATGAGGTTAAATAGTTCCTTCCTGGCAAACCAAGTAAGTTAGATTGCTTTGAATTTATCATGGTGCAGAAGCTTGCACATAGGCAGTTTTCAAGATTCAGTAATAGCCTATTAACAAGTTACCAGTTATAAACTTTTTGTGCATTTGAGTCGCAAGATGAGGGACTGTAATCACTTGGATTAACTATTTGCCTTCTTAAACTAACACTGCGAGTAGCATTCTCTAATCTTATAGATCCCCCTTAATTTGGTTATTGTATTAAATGTCTTTGCTGTTAGAATTGTAAATTCTGTGTGTGCATGTACCTGTGCATGCATCTTCTCTGTTAGAATCTGGGTATAAAGGGTCCTCTCAGTTTGAATGTGTTATGTTCTTTGTCTGTCCTTCCAATTCATGAGTACTCTCTCACAGTAATTCTCCAGTTCTTGTCTTCACGTTTAACATGATTCGTTTAAGAAGTGCAAGTATATAATTGTCCAGTTTTGGGCCCTGCTTTCCTGTGTAGGAGCTATGTGTCCTTGTTACCTGTGTATAAAAAAATGGCCAAAGAATCTTTCAGCACCTTTAAAATCTTGTTTGTAAGTCAAGCCTTGCTTACTTATCTTTGTTCCTGAAGATGCAGAGGTTTATTTCCAATCAGTCCCTTTTCTACTTCTTGTTGTTCATCATTAACTCAGGATGCTTCTGGAAAATAACCCTTGAATCTAGATATATCTGCTAGTTTCCTTTTATTTTTTTTTTGGATATAGCTTTCAGATAGTTTTTGCAGCTTTGGCTTAAAGAAACAACAAACCTTCTCTACATTCACATCAGTGAATTCTTCAGTTCACAGAATCATCCTCAGTTCTTCTTAGGGCTGCTTTCAGTCCAGTCTCTGCCCTGCCTCCATTTGTGCTTGGGATTGCCCTGACCCATGTGCAGGATCTTGCACTTGTCCTTGTTGAACTCTCATGAGTTCAGCTTCATGAGAGGTTTGAAAGGCCCACCTCTCAAGCTTGTCAAGGTCCCTCTGGATGGCATCCCTTCCTTCCAGGGTGTAAAGCACAGCCACACAGCTTGGTGGTGTTGGCAAACTTGCTCAGGGTGTGCTCAGTCCCACTGTCCGTGTCACTGACACAGACATTCCCAGTACCAACCCTGAGGAATGCCACTCGTCAGTGCTTTCCACTTGGACATTGAGCCGTTGACCACAACTCTTTGAATGCAACCCTCCAGCCAATCTCTTATCCACTAAGTGATCCATCTGTTAAATCCATGCCATTCCAATTTAGAGATGTATTGCTCCTGAGCTTGGAGGAGGTGATCCTTAAATATTAAACAGCTTTCTTGGGCTTTCTCTTTCCTCCAGCATTTTATCCTGTAGTACTTTACTGAGCAGATCCTTGAAGAGTCCAGAGTCTGCTCTCCTGAAGTCCAGGCCAGTGAGCTTGCTGTGAGTGCTCCCTCCTTGTTGCCCCAAGGATCTTGAAATTCACCATTTCATGATCACCTGCAGTCCAGGCTGCCCTTGAGCTTCACGTTCTCCAGCAGGCCCTCCTTGATGAGAGCAAGGTCCGTCACAGCACCTCTGCTCATTGGCTCCTCTATCACTTGGAGAAGGCAGTTATCATCAGCACATTGGAGGAATCTCCTGGATTGCTCATTCCCTGCTGTGTTGTCTCTCCAACAGATATTGGGGTGGTTGAAATCTCCCAAAAAGACCAGGGCTTGCGAATTTGAGGCCACTCCTGTCTGTCTATAGAGGGCCTGTCCACTCAGTTTTCTGGTCAGGTGACCTTGTAACAGACCCCTTCTATAATGTCACTTCCCTGGGCAACTTTAGTGCAAATCCCTCTTCACAGGTTGGCAAGCCTATGAGTGAAGATGTGTTTCCCCTTCTGTGACAGATGGTTCCCATTAGCCCCCAATAAATCAGATGTTTCTGATTTGTTCAGTTCCTTACAATTTTACATCCAAATGACATCTCCTTTGACTTAATGACAGAAGAAGACTTCTAGCTCTGTTCCTGAAGGACCCGTGGTTGGTCCTCAGTATGTTTTATGGAAAGTTATTCTTTCACTCTTCATCTTGCTGTATGTTACTGCTCTACAGTTTGCTGGAGATGGCCTGTATAGCAAATTATCCTTTCTCTCTCAAACTCCATTCAGGACTGGCTCTGATATCTGAAGAGGAAGGTGAAATGACACAAGCTGTTAAATGAACAATACTGGAATAAGGCATAACAGCAGGATAGTATAAAATACAGTGGACGCACCATGGCATGTGAAAGGAGCACTTGCTGGAATCTGTTATAACATGACGTTTTAGGGAATTGCTCAGTGGGGAAAGTCACTATTGTTTTTCTGAGATCTGCAGGGCATCATGAAAGGAGCTTCTGCCCTTTGTGAACACTTTGCATGATGGTATGATTAGAAGAAAGGTAATAGAACAACTTAAAGCCTGAATAGAGGGAGAAAAAGATTACGGTATCACTCTGCTGTGTTGTGTACGCTCTGCTATGTCAGATGCAGGCAGCTGTGATCTCCACCTCTCCATCCACAGCACGTTACCCTGTGTTTAGTGTAGTTTCCAGTGTGCTTCTACGATTGATCACAGGCTATTCCTGCTTTAGATGTTCTGTCTGAAGAACAGATCCGACTGAAGAAACTGAAGAAGCAGGAAGACGATCAGGCTCGGACAGTTGTGGTGCGTCCAAACCCTCCGAATCCGCCAAGCCCTTCCCACAAACTAACGCCGGAACAGCTGAACATGATAAAAAAGCTTGTGGCTGCTCAACAGCAGTGCAACCAGCGCTCATTCACAGACAGGCTCAAAGTGACGGTAAAAAAAATCTACAAGTTTACCAAAATAAAGAAAAATTGAAGTTTGGGGGGCTGGGTTTTGGGTGAAATATTTGGGAGAGCAGAGATAGCTCAGGCGTTGCATCTGTGGACTAAAGCTCTGTAAAGTATAGCAAAAGATGATGTTCTGATGTTGTTTAATTTTCTTTCCTTATTCATTTCATCTTTTCATCTTTCTGTCCTGGCTTAATCTTTCACATACCTCTCTCTCGCTCTCTGTGTCTCTGTATGTCCATATATATTTATATATGCTGTCTCTTCCCATTCCCACAGCCATGGCCTCAGATTCCTGACCCTAATAACCGTGAAGCGAGGCAGCAGCGTTTTGCTCACTTTACAGAACTTGCAATTATCTCTGTGCAAGAGATCGTGGACTTTGCCAAGCAACTACCTGGCTTCCTGGAGCTCACCAGGGAAGATCAGATTGCTTTACTGAAGACATCTACCATAGAGGTGAGAGTTTGGCTCCACCACAATGCACAGTAGCAGAGATGAAAGAATTTAGAGCTACCCACATGGAGAACTAGTTCCATCCCTTTTTTTTGGGATGGTGAACTGAAGGACCTCAGCTATGGGACCATTACTGCAGTGCCAGGTTATACTGGCAAAGAGTCATGGAGGAGAATGAGACAAGTGCCTTGGTAGTGGTAAGCAGGAACTTCCCCTTTCCCAGAAGCAGACACCACAAAGGATGCAGCAGAGTTTATCTTGGAATTTTTAAGCACTCTGAGAGAAACTGGATAGTTTTTGTTTAGGTTTTTTTGTTTTGTTTTGTTTTGTTTTTCAGATATGCTCTTAACATTTAGAGAATTATTGATGTTGTAACGTTCTTTCCTGTTTTCAAATAAAGTATATCTATTTCTGGTTTCAGGTGATGTTGCTGGAGACATCTCGGCGCTATAATCCAGAGATTGAGAGCATCACCTTTCTTAAGGACCTGAGCTATAATCGGGATGACTTCGCCAAAGCAGGTGGTGCATTAGACAGGTGTTTCTTCCTTCCCTGTGTCTCGTGTTCTTACATATTTTCCTTTTTAATGTGGACTGCCAGAAATAGTATGTGGGGTCAGATGAGAAGCTTAGAAGAGGACCAGACCAATAGCCCCAAAAGCCATATGTTTTTTGCTTTTAATATGTGATACTAGTTGAGTTCATGTCTTTTTTCCATATGTGAACTTGCTTGGGAAAATTTGGACTCTAAAAGGATGAAAATGTAGTAGGAAATGTCCACCTAGGGCTAGCAGCTGGTGTGAACTTCCTTGCTGGTAGAGATGTGATGTGAGAGCTGTATCAGATCATAGCATTTCAAACCACAGTCTTCTCCATTGCAGGTATGTATCACTTGCTAATCCGGATACACACCTCGAGTGAGGACATTAATGTGATTACATTTCACTTAATATGAGGTCTATACTGCGCACTGAAGATCCCCACACATTGCTTTAGATATTTTATCATCCCAATATATGTTGGTTTGTGGTGGGTGATTTCTGAAGTCTGTTCTTTCAGGAGCTATGAGTGTCTATAATTTCAGATGAAGTAACAGGAAAGAGTGTATCTTAAGCATTTCTAAAAGCAAGACTTAAGCTGTCATTCATGTGATTTTTTTTTTTAATTATTCTTTGAGTAGCTCTTTAACCATTTATACTTGAGATGGCTTTTTATATACAATTTTCCTTTTCAATGCTCTTCCTAGTAGCCTTTTTTTCAGGTTATTAGGAAGGCAAAAACTAGGCAGCCAGAAAGGTTCCCTCCATTTTGTTTCTTCTTTTCTGATGCAGTTGTACTGCAGGAAATTAAAAACTTAGATGATGTCTTGGGGGAAAGGCCTGAAGTTTTCAGCATGATTACATAGCGCAAAAAGACCTGGTTTGACAGTGGTCTCTATATGTTATGGCAATAAATATCAGTGCATTTCTGCCTGACTGCGTTTATCAAAGGAGGTGATTGTAAGCTTAAGTCAGGCTCTGCTTCAGCTCTCCCAGCTTTTTGAGCTGAAGGAAATGGCATAGTTCAGAGTTCTTGAAACTGTATGTTTTCAGTTCAGACAGATTTCAGATGAATCTGGATCACGGTATTGAAGCTTTTGCTGAAAGCTACTGGATGTGAAGGAGGTGATGGTGTCAGAGTTGAAAGTATAGATGTTGTACTTGTAGCCTTCTGACTTTCTGATGAACTTATCTGATAAATGATGTTGTGTTCCTTTAGCTGTTGCCTAGTGATGTGCCATGGGGCATTTAAGGCTCTAGGAAAACCCAGAAATAGCGTCATTTTATAGGTAGAACCCCACTCCTCAGCCACTGTTGTTGGTGTTCACCAGTAGTGGATGTAAATGGAGGTTTCATTGGAACATGACATAAGGATTTTTCCCTGCTTGCCTGTCTTCCCCACTCCCTGGTGTACTGCAGTGGGTTTCTTGCAGCTTATTCCGGGAGAGGGAGAGAAAGGAGTCAATTGTTACTGCCTCACCTTGTTCTCTTCTATTTGTTTCAGGTCTGCAGTTTGAGTTCATTAACCCCATCTTTGAGTTCTCAAAGGGAATGAATGAGCTACAGCTTAACGATGCTGAATATGCACTTTTAATTGCCATCAACATTTTCTCTGCAGGTAAAAAGCCAGGGAGATCTGAGGAGCTGCAGTAGTGAGTCAGAGGGCAAAGAAAGTAGAGTTAAGGAATGTGACAAGCAGAAGAGGAGTAATAGAGGGTATATAGAGTTCAGTGATAAAGGGAGCATGTTATTCATTATATTCTGAATTCTATAGTGCTGCTTCCAGAAGAAAGCAAATTCCCCACTGCTGGAAAAGTATAGAAAAATCGGTCAGTATTTATCTTCCTTGTTTAGAGATCGCTATTTAATTGTCCCCTTAATGTCCTCGGCACCTCTCTCGTGTGATGCAGGTCCCACAGCATGAGTGACATCTAGTGGGCAAATGAAGATACAGTGGACATGAGACAATACTGCTCTGGGCCAGGACAGAGCTTTGCCAAGAAGCCCCTTCCATTCTTCTGTCTTGTGACCTGCACGATTAATTACTTTTTTTCTTTGTTCTTGTTTTCTAACTGGCTCACCTGCTGCAGAGACTTTCCCAATCACTCTTGAATAGGCAGCTTCTCATTTCTTCTGTGACAGGAATGTGAGATCAAACAGCACTATGTAAGTGTGTTTGGTCTCTAACCTTCCACCTCTACAGGAGTCAGATTGGATACCCCATGTGCAGTAGACATCACTGAGAAAGAACAGTCACAGACAATTGACATATCTGCTACATTCATGGATATACCTCCCAGCTGTGCTGGGTGAACACTAATGAGGTTTTGGGAAGAGACTGTATGAGGGAGTTGAGTTAGGCAGGGGTGTTAAGTCCATTGAAACTGCCTGTGGCAATCTCCTTAATTCTAACTTGCTTTTTGGCAGACCGACCGAATGTGCAGGACCAGTCCTTGGTGGAGAGGCTGCAGCACACCTATGTGGAAGCCCTTCATTCTTACATTTGTATCAACAGACCAAATGTAAGTGCCTGACCACAACACCTACAGCAATGATGAGAGCTGATTTTGTGTTTATGCAGATACGGTTCCTGCCGTACTGTTTGTAACAGGTTTCTTACTGCCTGTACTGTACTGTCATACTCATCCCTTCTGTGGCTCTTTGATAGCAGCTGGAAATGCAGGATTTGTGAGCTGTCACAGCCTGCTGTCCTGTATCATGTTCCATGGTTTAGCCAGCATGGAAAGTCTGGAGTTTTGGGACATGGTGTACTATTTGAGTTCCTCTACACTGAAGCCTCCTGTTGAATGCTGGGTTTAGAGGAAGTCATGATTATAGTTACAATACATCATCTGTTGTGGTATTTTTTTTTCTTTTTTAAAGTTTTAGTGTGAATTTACTAACAGCTGTCTATTTGTCTGACTCTGCAGGACCGCCTGATGTTTCCACGGATGTTAATGAAGCTGGTCAGTCTTAGGACACTAAGCAGTGTCCACTCTGAACAGGTGTTTGCCCTTCGGCTGCAGGACAAGAAACTCCCTCCTCTGCTCTCAGAAATCTGGGATGTGCATGAGTGACCGCATGCTCCCAGAATGCTGACGTGCTGACATAATGCCATCTCCCAGCCTTTGCTAATGAGAAGCCAGCCTCCCCTCTCCAAAGCACTGAACCCTGGGCTAGGCATGCAGGGAGTGATGAGCCCGGGGTTTCAGTGTTGTCATGAGACTATGCAGGAGGCAGCTGGGGTAGATCAGATGGAGGGGTTGGTTTTGATGTAGAGCCCATACCCCAAAGGAATAACGTGAAACATTTGAAAACGGTAGAAATGAAGACTTCCTCCTGCCCCCCAACTCCTCTTTCTTCAGAGTCTTTCTCTTCTCTAAGCATATGCTGAAGGTTTGCCCTTTGATCCTCTTCTCACTGATTATGAAAATGAATTTGCAGGAACTTGCCAAAAGCTCTCTATTGAGAGTAATCCAGCTCGAAAGGCTTCTGCAGGGTCCCCAGTGTACCTGGATCTGAGAAGCTCAGGGAAGTCAGTGTGGATGTTCTATGGGTTTCACTGGGTTTCCTATAAATAAAATCTCTTGAATGTGCTGCCCTCTACAATGATTCCAAGAGAAGTAGCTTTTATTTCTTTATTATGAGACTTCATCTCTAGAGCTGCCCTTTATTCTGGCCCTCCTTTGGAAAAAGGATTCCTCTAATATGTAGTGCCCTTTGTCTAACAGGGAGATTCTCTGGGTAGGGAACATTTGTACATCAGAAAGATGTCAGGCATAAAGTAGTAGGCTTTTTTTTAATATAATGCATCACAGTTTTATCTCATGGTTCTCAGACAGTTCAATTTACCTTTGATTTGCTAACAGCTGGAAAACTTTAGTTCAAAACAGATCAGGGCATAGATTTTTATCTTTAGGGGTGGAATAGAAGAAAGGTGGGAAGGACTGGTACCTAGGTGAGGTAGGTGTGGTGGAAGGATCTCAAAAACTTCCAAGAATCTGAAGCATGTGGTATGTTTTCCAAGGTGGGTGTGAAGATGTATTGGCCAAGGAGAGAGGACACACTGCATTTAGTGAAATATGCGGGCATTGCATAAGCTATGGGCTGCACAACTCTCAGATCATGGGCTGCAGGAATATTGGGTGTAATCAGATCCACTTGTGTTGTCTTCCTTTTGCCAAAGTCTTTCCAAGGTTTTAGGAATGATAATGGGATATGGAGGTCCCTCCTGTATGAGGAGTGCCAACTGCTTTAGAAGGACACTTTGGTCTTGTATCCTTTCTTCACTTGGGGCACTGTGAGATCCACACCGGATTTATGCTCCAAATTTTTAAGTATCCACATTCATAAGTATTCTAGAATTTACAGCAATATTTTGTCTGACAGAAGAGAAATATACTGTTGTAAAACATGTTCCTTACTTTCCAAGAAACAACATCTTATAGCTGATCTCAGAGATGTAACCTTAAGTATCCTGGTAGCTTGGTCTCATGAGTCTTCTCTGTCATAGGGGTCTTTGTTTGCTTGCCCGGTGAGTATCCCAAGAGCATAGGTTCACATGGCTCGGGGTTTTTTGTTTGTCTGTTTTTTGGTTTGTTTGTTGTTGTTTTTTTTTGGCTGTGTATCTGAGCGCTATGCCCGTGGTGAGGGTATCGTGTCCATTTTGCACTTGAGGTTGGTCCCCTGCCACTGGCCTTCACTCTGCACCTTTGTAAAGCACTTGTAACAATCTGTAAAATAATCTGTTGTTTTTTATAACTCATTGCAATTGCAAAAATTCTTGTTTAAATCTGTATTTTTAACTAATCTGTTTGAGAAATGTTAATGTTTATATAAAAGAATAAAGCCTAATACAGGATTTTGACATTCTCTGATGTGCTGTCATTAGCTTGGAGGAGGGTGGAATAAGTTCTTGCTGTAACAAGCTCAAAGCTGATAAGAAAGTAAGTGTAAAGGTTGGAGAGAAGCAACAAGTGGTGAAAAAGAAATAGTAGTGCAACCCCGGGCAGTTTATTTTGGCCTCTAGGATGAGATTTGTAGCTTGATATGCACCTTGCTGTATGCCAGACCTGGCAAATATGTGAAGTGGATTAAGTGCGTATCACAAAGACCATGAATTATGCAAACATCCTTCATTTTGATTTGTACAGCTACGGTCAGAATGTAACCCTTTTATTCCATGCGCTGTACTCCATTTTCTGCATATTGTGGCTTGTCAAAATTGAAATGGGGGTCCAGCCTGCCCCTGGCTGTCAAGTGGATTTTCAGATGGACCCTAGCTGATACCTCATATACTAATAATTTCTGATATACTTAGAGGAGAATCAACCATAATAGTTGTCCATAGGCATTGCCTCCAAGGCAGTGGTAGGATGGGGAAGCAGAGAGCTGTCCAGCATTAGCTGCTTCCTAAGTGCTTGATCCTCTGCCGCAATGGGAAAGGAAAGCGACCGTCAACTCAGCAACTCCCCACACTACAGGCTATTCAGCTGAAGCCCCTGAGTTACTCTAAAATTTAAATTGGAATCCCCTAAACCAGAGGGAGAAGGAGTAGGCTTATAGGAAACTGCTGTGAGGTATGAGGTGAGGAGTAATGAGTGCTTAAGTCAGCCCTGGGTGAACTAGATGGTGGCTGGGCCCTGCTTGAGGGATTTGCTAAACAATGATCCTGTCAACAGTCAGAAGAGGTAATGGCAATGGAGCTGCAGCTTCATTTCTAGCTTCAGTTTCTTTATTTTGAGCTGTATCTCCTTAATTTGAAGAGAAAACCTGCATATAAATTTGAGGGATTTTCAAGGTACAATCTATATAACATTGCTGTGGGTGGCATTGGTGAAAGCAGTGATTTTCCTTGGCTCTGTGTTATGATTGAACCCCAGCCAGCCACCAAGCCCCACACAGCGACTCGCTTACTCCCCCACCAGAAGGATCTGGGAGAGAATTGAAGGGTAGAAAGTAGAAAATGCATGAGTTGATATATAGGCAGTATTTGATGATTCTGTGAATATCAAATCAATTATTGCACCATTTTACACTTAATAGATAAACTGTTGGGTTAGTTGTGGTACTTGTGGTTGCATTTTGAGTTTATTTCGGAAATTTTTGTTTTGTTAATAAATGGATTTGGTTGCACAGTGGTTTATGGGAGTTTGGAAGGAATTAGAGCTCTATCTCAAGCTTTTAATAACCAGATTCTCTTGTAATCTCATGAAGCCTGTAGCGAACCAGCAAGTAAGTAGCTCAATACAGAGGGTGAAAGTACAGGCCGAAGCGTTCCCGATTCTCCTCACGGAGGCTGCTGCTGTTTCCCACCCCACATCCCACCTCCCTCCCGCCGGCTCAGCGGCCGCAGCGCTCCCTGCGGGAGGCTGGCGAGGCGGCTCCCCCCGCCACGAGGGCGAGTGGTTCGCTCCGCCCCGCCCTGCCTGCCCCCCCGCGGGCGGCGGTGGCGCGTCCCGCTGCTGGCGCTCGATGCGGAACTGGCGGGGCGGGCGGAGCGGCGGCGGCAGCGGCGGTGCCGGGGCAGGTGAGCGGGGCGGCCGGGCCGGGCGGGCAGTGCCGGTGCCGGTGCCGGTGCCGGTGCCGTAGGCGGCGGGGTGCGTGCACATGTTAGAAGCGGAGCCTGCCCCACCGCCGCTAGGCGTGGGTTGGGCTGGGAGCGCAGCCGGCGGCGCTGCCTGCAGTGCCCCGCACCCGGACAGCTGCCGGGGCATCCCCTCCTGCTCCGCCGCAGCCGTCCGGCCGCGCGCGGCGGGGATGCTCGGGAGCGGCGATCCCTCCGTTCCGCAAGGTCACGGCCGGCGGCGGGCACAGATCGGGGCCCGCCGCTGCGGGGAGCGCGGCCGGGCGGGCTCTGCTCCATCCTGCCGGGCGCCGGTGGCGGGCGGGGCCGCGATGTCCCGCTGTGGCCGCGGGGCTCGGCCGGCCGCGCTCCGGCGGCAGCCCCTGAGAGGGCCGGGGGTGCGGGCGCGGGGCCCGCCGCCCTCGGGCACGGGCCTCCCGGGGGCTTTTCCTCGCTCCCTGCCGCGAGGGAGCGGGCAGGATAGTGAGGGAAGGGAGAAAGGGAGGCGCAGGGCGGACTGTCCCCGTGGAAGGGGTGAGGTGTGCAGCCTTGTGCAGGGGTTGCTGTGGTAATGTGACTGGAAAGGTGCTTTTACTCCTCGGTTTGTAAACAGCAGATCCAGTTACTCCCTAAGACAATAGAATAGGAAATCCACTTTATGCTAGGCAATTTCTTATGAAGTCACCTATAAATCAAGAGCACTTTCCCTTTAGAAATGGGTGTCACCACCTTGCTGTGTTGCTCGCTTTTATTGTCAGGCGGAGGAGGGGAAGCGAGCTTGGTCTGTGTCACTGTTTGTGTGGAGTCACGGTTAAGAAATGCTTAGAGAAATGATAAGCCTTGGAGGAAACCGATTTGTCGCCTGTCTTTCTCCTCTCCCTTTCTCCCCTGAACTCACCCATATACCATGCTTTTTTCATACATACCCAAAATAACAGGCAATATAAATTTGTAGCCCCATGAAGATGGGTTAGAACTGTGATGATCTCCCTAGACAAGCCAGCCATTTTCTCTACATCCAGTGCAACTCTGGGTCAGCATTTCTGTTGGTTTGCTCACAAGTGTCCTTGTTGTGCTCCTTGCAGAAAAGAGAATCATTTGCTCCTTATCTGTAAAAAGGATGCTGCTTGTAGACAGAAGCAAGGGGAGGGAAGATGTATTGTGGTGTCCTCAGGGTCACATAATCAAACCAAAGTCATCCAAATATAGGTTATTTGGGAAGAGTCTCTATTTTTGGACTTTATGCTGCTTGAACCTAGGGAACTGTTTTGGATGAGCACAAGGAGTACTTGCTGTTTTCAGCACTAATGAAAATCTGCAATACTGACAGATCAGAGAGAGAGAGCACTTCACATCCAACATAGTAAAAATGCAGTTTTTTGCAGGATTTCATCTGGCCATCCCATCATAGCATGTTATGTAACACTGAACTGATAGATCATTCCAGCTATAAAATACTACTTTTGCTTTACTGTTGTATTGTTAGAAAATGCACAGCTCTTGGACAGGATTTAATAGACATTGGAATTAAATGTACACTTGTTAAATATTTTATTGGGTATTTAATAAAATGCAAAATCATGAGCAAGTCTCTAGAATGCTTTTGTTTGGAAAATAATACATCTTTGTCCTCAGTAAAAAATCTTGTACGTGCCTGTCCAGTGGTGCTGCAGTTTTATCATGAGTCTAGACTTTTGTGTTCTTACTACATTAACAGGTTTCCAGCTGTAAGCTTTAGAATCTTACTACATTGGTTTCCACAGTGTTATTACTTTTAAAACAATTACAATGTCATGGATAGGCAAAAAGGAAAATAATATCCTCACTGAAAGAATGCTGTCCATACAAAGCACGAAGCATGGTTTCATGATGTATGTGTTATGTGCCAAAGCCATGAATGGTGGTGAAACAAAGTCTGTATAGCAACTGGGAAAAAAAAAAGTCTTCTAGTTTTCATGGAAAAACGTAATATACTAGAGGGCAAACCTCTTCTTCAGCCATTCTGTAACTCTTTTGAAAGCAGACAGGGTGTGTATGGAATGAAGTCCAACTTCAGTCTGTTTCAGAAGGATTTTGGAGTTGGAGAGGTAAAATCTCAGGTCTTACTAAACCACTTGTTCATATCGTCTTCCTAAATTAGTGTTGGCTTTGATTTTATCTGCCTTGGGGTGAGGGCCACAGAGGCTCATAATATTTCCCTCTCACCTCAAGCCATATTGAATATTCAGGTTCTGTATAGACAGAATATACTAGGCGTACCTCTGTCAAGATGTTCCATCTGGTCTGTTTTAGATCTTCAGTGATGAGCCAGTTGAAAAAACAAATATCTATGAGAATTTCTGGTATTAAATTAGCAAGTCACAAGTACTGCTAAATTCTAAGAGAATAAGTCTCTTCACAGTGTTTGGTTTACAGCAGTCAAGCAAACAGATTTTCTCTGATACTCCATTCCAGATACTTTTTTTTTTTTTTAAACATACTGGTAGAGATTTAGTGTGTGAGTGGATAAGAAATGGTGTAAAATGTAGTGTCTTGCCTGTCATTTCACGCTGTAGTTTTTTAACTAGGTGGGTAGCGCCATCATGCTCACAAGATGGTAATTGATACTTTTTTGTTAAACCTTAGTACAGAGTTGAATGTTTCACTTACTTTCCATTAGGAAGGAATTGGAGACAGAAAATGCATATGTTACAACCCAGATTAATTCCTGCGAATGTCCTTTGGCCCTATTGGCCTGCATTTAAGATATACTCCATTAAATTTCCAGGCAGTCCCTCAGCAGAAAGGCTTTGACGTAGTTATTCAGTGCAATACTAGAAAATACAGGATACGGCTTCTGATTAGGGATTTGCAGCAATGAGGAAAGGATTTAGAAAAAAGAATGAAAGACCTTGAGATGTAAGATTAATATGACTTCCCCAGTTTAAATGGCCTCCATCTATCTCAAGATATAAATTTTTGTGAAGTAAAAGCATTGTCAGTGACCTAAGTGCCGACCTAAGACACAAAGTGAAATAAAAATGAGCAGCTTGAAGCATCAATTAGAAAGGAGTGTTTCTTAGCAGGATAGTCTGTTAATCTGTAGAATAATTGTGATGTTTCTTTTGAAGACAAAATGTTTTGCTGCTTTTCTTTCTCCACCTTGAGATCTATGAAAAATCGATGTTGACCTATTGTTCATTTTCTGTAACTGAACCTGTATAATTCTGCTGGTCTTTGCTCTGTTGTCTGAAACTAGACAAGAATTTTAGTGCAGTTAGATTCTCTGTCACTGGAGGTCTTTAAACCTGTCACAA